ATGAGGCTCCACTCCCAAGCTAGACAAGAAGCTGGAGCCAGGCAGTAGTGCAAGCCACCTAGGGAGCCCCAATTCCCACCTGCCCTGGGCAGTGCACCCCGTGGAGTGAGGACATGGGCCAGGACTGCCTTCCAGCCTTCCACTCAGGGCAAGTCCAAGGTTCATCGTCAGCCAACACAACCATCATACTTCACTGAGGCCTGAAATCAGACTGACCAGGGTCAAGGTGAACTGAGGTATCACCAGAGATGCTTCGCCACAATCTTCTCAATCTCCTTTGCCATGGTAGGTCAAGATGTATGAGTTAATGAAAGGAAGAAAGGAGAGTCCAGGGTTAGGATGCTAGCCTGCATCTCAGGCAACTTTGCTTCCATCTCCAGACCCCCCATTCACATCCCTCTACATGTGACCTTGGATAAATCACTTGGTCTTTCGGTGCCTCGATTCTCCACCTCTGAAAGGAGGCATTAGGAGGATAACTACTTTAAAGAAGGGCTCAGATAGTACAGTGATGGGGCCCTACAAGTATCAGAGATAGAATGCAGTATGCCCTAGGCCAGGTCTATACTAGGAGGCAATGTTGAACTAAGGTATGCAACTTCAGCTATGTGAATAATTCGAGTTAAAGGGGCATCTCCACTGCGGGGGGTTGACGGGAGCGTGATCAGCAGTTGATTTAGTGGGTCTTTACTAGACCTGCTAAATCAACCCCTGTGAGTTCGATCACTGTAGTGCCTGTTTCCTGATACATGTAGACAAGGCCTTAGCTGAGATGGCACTGTTTCTGCTGCTTTTGCATTCCCCTGTAGCTTATGTAGTAAAGGTAGGACTAGTAAATCCAAGCAGCTTCTAAAGGTCTGATCTGACCAGGTGCAGAGTTTTCCCCAGATTCCCTCAACCTCAGTGGGAGCTGAGGAGGCTCAGTCCAGATCACCTCCTTTCGGTATATTATACCTGAGCAGTCAAAGTTAGCTAGCAGCATCTAATGAGCCTCTTTCATTCAGAGCCAAATCTCATTATTATTATTATTATAAGGCTTCCAGGGTATTGCCAGCTAATTTACAAATAGAGAAATTAAACCATCCGTTATTCCTCAGTTTCCATGACATCTAAATCCAATTCCTATTTAATCTGACAGTGTGGCAATGATGAAGCAATAAGACACGACAAGTGATGTATTTTTTGATGGGCTGGGGGAAGGCCTTGGGTGGACCATGAGATGAGACGTAATTTCTCCACTCACCCAAGACTTGCACTAAGACGCCGCCTGTCACTTCTCTGACCAGGGGTGCCCAAGTGGGGTTATGATAAGGTGTGGGGAGGAGACACCTTGTCTTCACTTGACAGGTGTTCCCAACTTGGCGTGACCGATTCAGTGCCAAAGCTCCATCTTGTGACCAGACGCCCGGCTCACACTCACCTCCCACACGCTATTTCTTCACTTACCCAGTGTTCCTCATCAGCCACCCAAAGTCGTGAACTCCACATATGTCTCCCAAACTGCTGAAATTCAAGCATGTGTGGTGAGTGGGAGGCTGCTGGCAGGCGTAAGAAAAACCACGATCATCTGAGGCTGGATCCCACAGCTCCGAGAGCACTGGGGACTTTATGGAAATCAGGCACCCATTCGATTTTTCACCAGCTCTGCTGGCTTAGCTGGAGAGTCAAAGTGCCAATCACCTGAACGTTTAGGAACATGTGTGTGTTGTACATGTACACAGTCCACGCACACGCAGACGCCCAATTCTCACGTGAAGTCTTCACAACACTGATTCCCTGCTCGGTGCCTTTCTGCTTCTATGATAGCAATCATTGTAGGGTCTGGGCATCTTCGTCCATTCTCTGCTGCAAGGAAGTAGTGTTAGCCCCAACTTGCAGACAGGGAAGAGCAAGACCTGGTCTTGGGCACACAGCAAGCCCGAGCCCTGCACGGAAGCAAGTTCTCTCACATCCCCATCCAGTTCCTCAACCCCAGGACTACCCTTCTGCCTCTTTTCCATTTAGGGAAGAGGATACAATCTAAGTAGGCAGAAATTAACCAGGCTGAGATGGAGGGAGCATCCCATGAACAGAAGGCAGAAAGGAGAGCAGGAGACGACCAAGTGTTTGAGCTGGGAGGGCAAAAGGCAGTGCAATGAGAGACAAGGGCAAGCAGGAGCAAAATCGTGCAGGGCCTGGAAGGCACGGACAAGTTGCTTCAAAGCAATGACGTAGACAGCAGAGGGAGAGAGGCAAGGACACTCAGAGGAAGGAAAGTCACCCATAGAAGTGTTGCAGCAATCGGTGCCCAGACTCCTAGGATCTCCGGCTGACTTTTGCCACAGACGTGCGCAAATTACGTTAACCTCTCTATGCCTTAGTCCACACTTCCTTCAACCCCTGAAAGACCATCTCTACCTACCTTGCAGGGTGACGCTTCCTCATCGCACAGCAATTGAGATCCTGGGATTCCAGGCACTGTAGCTAAGAGTGAGCACAACAGGGCACACTGAGAAAGTGTGTGGCAGCCCGAGTGTGAGGCGTAGCTGGACATCTCTGGGAAGGCGCTGAGCACCTTTGTGTCCCAACAACTGACTTGCCATATGGGTCTGATTAACCAGGAGGTTGGCAATCTTGTCTGTAGCATAGTCCAGCAAGACAGGGATGCCAAGCATGAATACCACCATGCTGGCAAGGACTACACCTTCCTGCAACACACCAGGTAGTTAAAAGATGTAATAGTACCTGAACACTGGGACACAATTTCAGGAATCATGTGTTTTAGGTGAGCTTGCGCTTCGTTGCATGGATGGGTTGCCACACAGGGAGCTTTTAGGCTTGTGTGTGTGGAACTGTAGATCAAGGCAGATCTCTCCAGCTCGACAGTGAATACAAGTAATTATCTTTCTAATGTGCCTCCAGATGCTGGCTCCCAATGGTCTGGCTAGTGTGGCTTGTAAAAGGTGTGAGGTTCCTGTATGTGATCTGTAAGGGCAGATGTGAAAAACAGTGTGGTGTTTAAATAATGCAAAGGAGAGAGCCCCATGGCTCCTTTTTGAGCTCCCCCAGCACAACTTTACTCTAGGGCTACATCTTCCCTTTTTGTGAAAAAACCCATTGTGCAAAAAGAAACGGCCGAAAATATGTTAATGAGATTGTGACTTATGCTAATGAGTCTGTCATTAGCATATTTTCTGCCAGGAGAACTTGCCGGGAAGACAAAGCCTAGGTGAGCATAAGGAATGTACCTCAGGATGGTTTTCGTGAATTTTACCTTTCAGGACTCCAATGCATTATAGAACAGGACCATGTGACAGACCCTTTTTGAGTGGTCTGTGATTCTTCTCAATAGCAAGGATGATTTCTGTATCCTGACAAAATCCGAGGGTTTCCTTTCCTCTCAAACCGATTGACTAGGAATCTACAACAAGCACAGCAGCAGAGGATGCAAAGACGACAGCTTGTCAGCCATCAGCATCACTCTTAGCTGGTGAGAATGAAGCAGTTCTTTCAGCCAGCTCCATGAAAGCCACTAGGTCTGTGACGCTGATGGGGGCAGACTGCTGACATGATGGGATAGTGGTCGTAAAGCTCTTTGATTGGCACATGAAGGCTTGTGTAGTTCTTGCGTACATTCCTCGGGATGTGGGGAGATGGTTATCCCCATTCACAGATCTGACACGTACATTCAAGCACACAGTTGGCCAAACTCAACACACTTGGCCCCCATGCTTCTCTGTTGCTTTTTATTGTTAGTGGCTTCAGTTCAGCAAGGCACGTAAGCATGTGATAAGTCCCAGTCAACTTCAGTGAGACTACTTGCATGCTGAAAGAGAAGCATGTGCTTAAATAACTTGCTTACTCAGCCTCAATCCTCCCTTGAAAACGAGCCGCTCAGTGGACCGTGGGAGTAAGCAAACAGATCCAAGAGCCTCAACAGCTCCCACAGAAGCCAAGGGGAAGACTTGTCTAGGAGCTGCACTGGGGTGAGTCCAGGCCATGGTCCCTGGACAATCGGCCTTTTACACATGATTTCAGACTTTCCCATCACTTTTAAAACTGGGCTGGTAGAATTATGACTGATGGGAAGCAATTTGCTCTTGAGGTTTCTGTAAATAACGCTCACACACCTTGAAATTAATGCTTTTAGGACCTGCACAGCAGAGCGGAAGCTAGGCAGATTGCGTGTGTCCTTCACCTAGCCTTTGAGGAAGGATTTGTACACCTTCACTGAACACACACTTGCATTCACGTGCTACTATGACAATCTACATCCCTTGATTTACTCTTGGCTTTAAGTTGCTTAAATGAAAGCGACTCATTGCGTAACAAAGATGGTTTCTTTCGTCCTCTTCGGCCCCATTATCCTTTACCAGCATCAGGCAACTATACATCAGCCGCTGATAGGTCCCAACACAGAGGATTTGGAGAGAATTAAAAAGAAATCGGAGAATCTATGGCATGAAAGACTGGATGACCAGGGGTTTAAAACAGTTCCCATGTATTTTTCAAGCGGCACTTATTTTGACAAATGTGAACAGAGGCACTGACTTCGTGGGTGCTCTGGGGCTATAGTACCCCTGGGGAAAAATTAGTGAGTGTTCTAGGATCCCCCCCTCTTCCCTCCCTCAGTGCCTCTTACATGCCAGCAAGCCTGCATTTATCAACTCCTCCCCTTTCCTCCCACTGCTTCCTGAGCTCTGTGAATAGCTGATTCACAGCATTCAAGCTGCATGAGGGAGGAGGAGAATTGGGGATGGGGTGCATTTGGGGGGAGGAAACGGGGGTTGGAGGAGGAGCAGGGGGAAGAAGAGGTAGGACAGGGGCAGGTGTTTGAGGAAAAGGATAGAGTAGCGGCGGGACCTGGAGCAGTAGGGAAGGGTAGCAGGGAAAGCACTCCCTGACAAGAGGAGAGGTTGGCACCTATGAATGTGGATGCACCTTTGTGTCTAGATTGTTTCAATCAAAAAAGTAAATTATTTCCCCTAATGCACTGGAAAAAAGAATCTAAGCTGTAAAAACATCAAACTGATTTAATCAATTTATAAACATTGTATCGGTAAAAACAGTGCTATTCTAAATGCTCTCGGTACATTGGAAGTCTACCCAAACGTTAACCAGATTGAAAATTAAAGTCTGAAAACTGACAAAACAGCAAAGGCATGAGTCATAACCTGGCTCCTTACTAAAGCCCCAACCCTGAAAACACTTACACCCATGGAACACTTTATCACATAAGTAGTTCCATTGATTTCCAGGAGATTACTGGTGGCCTTGATTCACAATAGCACTTAAGCATGTGCTTAAGTCCATCCCTATCCAAGACCACACTAAGCACTTGAAGTCCCATCCACTGGGGATCTGATGGAATTTAAGTACATGCTTAATGACTGCTCTGAAGACGGCTGCTTTCCTGACAATGAGCATATGTGTTTGCAGGCAGCTCAGCTTTTAAACCTTTCATCTGGACTGAACAGGTCATTTTCTATTTATACACAATGAATATCAAGCTCTAATTTAACAGTTTTTTGCTGTTGTTTTTTAATGCTTAAATATGCCTAAAACAAATCTATTACATAAATATATAAATTATTCTTTAAAATGAGAAACAGACGCCTTAAGAGACAGAATATAAAAACTTAGAGATAAATATAACCGTATTTACAAATTCTGGAGTATACAAAATGATGCCCTGGTTTTAAAACTAAGCAAATTATCCAGGGGATATGGAGACAGTATGTACATTACATTTCTTATCTGGAGCAGGAGGACAGAATTAGTTCTGATACTGCATCAGGACTGGCAAACACAGGCCCATATAGCTGTGCAGGGGTCCCACAGATTTCAGTACACTCATGGATCTTTGCTATTGGTTCCAGATTCAGACTGTGGGGGTCATACTGTGGAATATTTTGTAAATAATGCTTCAAGGGTCATTACAAATGCATTGTAACAAGGTTGAAAGTCAGTGCGCATTACATTTAGCACAAACTTTAAACTCAAATATAATATACAAAAACACTTGTAGGACTTTTCTGATGCTGTTAAATCAACAAGAGTAGAAACCAAACATTCTAACACAGGTTTTTCAATAATCTTGTGGGTTTTTTTACACCAGTAATGGACTTTCACCTTCTGTTGTCCAAACTTCATTTAGAAATGGACTGATATTCACCTCCTGGTAGCTCTCAGTCCTCCAAGACCAATGTGTATAACACTGACTTTTTCACGAATGACGAGTTCCCCAAATAAGATATGCTGCAAAATTAATCAAGCTTGAAATAATAGATACCATCGTCTGTGAAATAAAAGACTTGGGTCAAATCTTCAATTGGGGGAATCAGCAGAGCACCACTGACTTCTACAGAGCTATGACAGTTTATGCCAGCAAAGGCTCTGACCCTTTGTTTAAAGAATTTGCCTTTCTGATGTCAAAAGTTTTCACCTTCATATTGGACGGAGGGTCTAACATGAATGGTTTTGGATGTGATTTGCCAAAAGCCCTAAATGAAAGTTTTCATCTGATGAAATGGGTTTTACCCACAAAAGCTCATGATCCTATATCTTTCTTAGTCTCTAAGGTACCTCAGGATAACTCGTTGTTTTTAAAGTTACAGACTAACAGAGCTACCCTTCTGAGACTTGGCTCCCACAGAAAATCAATGGGAACCTCACTCAGTTATAGACCTTTAAAAATCCCCTGAGGTATAGCTGTCAAGGATGTGATTGATCATCCTATTGATCACTGTGGCCTGCTTAGAAACAATGCCGAGCAATGGTGGTCCATCAGCGTGAAAGTCAAATCAAGATGCAATTTTACTTTTCCAATGAATACCAATATTTAGAAATGTACATGTCTCGTTCATGCCAATAAATCTACAGTAAAACGATACAAAACACACAAGCTTGTGCCATCTGCCAAGAAACATGTTTTTGCTACTGGTGATTCTCTGATACCAAACCCTCTCTAAGCCCAATCCTGGGTCTATTCCACATCCAAAGCTACTACTTGCTGGGTGTGCGGAATGGCTGGAGGATCAGGATGTTAGATGTACTTCAGATATGCAGGGTAAGCAACATTAAAAAAAAAAACCAAGAAACACGCGCACTCTCTAGGCAATGATTAACACCACGTATGATCATATAAATAGAGGACTGTCCTGAAAGAGTAGCCTAAAAATGACCGAGTCAGGACTCAGCAGCTGCTTGCTCTTAATCCCAAGTAGATAATGGGGTTAACTGCCATTCAACATGGGGAAGAGGACATTTGATCGTAATCGGGACATTTGAGCAGGGCAGGATAGTTACTGTTCATCTGAAGAGACGTATCACTGGAAATATCGGAAGGACTGCGTCCACGCACCCAGGCATCTGGGTGCAGGAACTGCCCGGAGTAATCAGAGCAGTTGCTAAGACGGGGACGGTAGAAGCCAGGGTGGGGCCTGTAGATCTCCTCGGCTGTGTATCGTTTCATGAACAGGTAGACTGACATCACACCGGCACTCTGAAGGGGAGAAAATGAAACAAACACTATTCACAGGAAAGGGAACTGGATGGACATTTAGTTCTAAAAAGAGCTGGTGGCATTGCCATGGACACACACAGCTGCGCGGTTATGAAAGCAGCATGGCCAAGTGGGTAGGGTATCACACTTGGGTACCTGGAGACCTAGTTTCTTTCCCTTGCTCTACTAATAAGACCTGCGCTAAAGGGTGATCATTCCACTGCTTTCAGGAAGAGTATCATGCCACACCCAGTGACTACACACTTGTGAGGTCATAATGCATAAGGGAGACACCCCACCTCCACCGGCATGGCCTGTCATTGCTCAGCACATGCAAGGTCACACTGCATGGGGGATGCCATCTCTCCCACTGGCATGGCCTCTCACGCACCGGTCATGCTGCACAAGGAGTGCCACCCTGCCCCTGCCAGGCTTTTAATAATTGAGTTCACAGTCTAATACCAGACAAATCCACACCCGGGTCTGCCAGGATTAGACGGGAACATACCACCCAGAAAGAGGGCAAACCAGCTCAAAACTGGACAAATGGCTTCTGATTTAGGGAAGTCACTTCTGCCTCGGCTTCCCCATCTCAATCACAGAGATAACAATACAACTGTCACCCAAGCAGGCCTGCTTCTCTTGAGTCAACCTACTGTTGACCACTGGCATGGAGGGTTTGGCCTGGCTGGCAGGAGACACAGGCTCAATTGATGGCCCCTGGATCATACCATTTGTCTGCCAGTCCATAAATGTCTATTAACAATTTGGGGCTCTTACAGAGTCTTGCCCTTTCAAACTCCTCCTTAATCCCCCTTTTCACAACGACCAATTCCTGATAGGCCGGCCCAACCCCCAATATTTTAACTCCCGAGAACAGAAAACGTTGACTAAGGTTATGTCGACACTACCCTCCTGTTTGGACTGCAGGAGGAGTTCCCATCTTTCCTGACCAGACAAACTGGAAGCCATTGCTATGAATGGCGTCAGGCCAGGAACAATGGCAACCTTATCTACAGGGGCATGAATGGCAGTGAGCACAAAAGTGCTGCACTGTAACACCCCTGTGTGGACACCACGGACCTGAATAAAAGGTTCCTACTTTGCACGAATGGAGTCCCGTTTGAAGAGGACTATGTTAACATGGACTAGGAGCCGTTCAATTAATATCCACCCCAGCAAGTCACCACACAGCCCTTTAGTGCACTTTGCTTTCATATCTCTGTAGTTTGAGCTGTGAGACGCTGTAAGCACGCCTTTATAGGCGCTCCAGAGAGTTCACGACACACAAGTACCTCTGTGAGAAGAAAAGAGATAGCAGAGAAAGCAAATGACCATCCATATTTATAACTGAAGTAAGTCTCTGAATCCTTGGTCTGGTTCAGCATCTCATCGTTAATGCTGGATATGTACAACACCAGCCCCACAACCAGAGATAAACCTGGGAAGGGAGAATGAGAGAAGGAAAATGTTCTTCAATACAGACACAAAGCAACTCCCAGCAGTTCTTCGTTTAAGAGAAAATTTGTACCTAACATTTAAAATATGGAGGTTGCCTTTCCAAGAATTGGAGAACTGGGCATCTCACCCACTGAATGGATCAATACACTGAGGTAATTTCTGTCAAACGATTATACTTGTAAGCCAGATTCTTCTGAACTACAAGTGATCTGTGTATGAAAATGCATTAAAACACCACTGTCACAGCTGCTTGTTTTACATTGCTCCATTGATATGAATAATACACTCACTTGTCTCATGTAGAAAGATCCCAGCTGACTATTCTGAAGTTTCAAACATCCTCTGTGACTGACTTAACCTAAGAAATATGGGGCCTTGTTTTTTTTTTTTTTTTTTTTAAGAGGCCAATCTTATGGGAGTGATAAATTGTGCATGCAAACTCCCACGTTTCATTATGCCATGGAGTCCCAAATGACTACCACTTATATATAGGCAGTCCCCGGGTTACGTGCAAGATAGGGACTGTAGGTTTGTTCTTAAGTTGAATCTGTATGTAAGCTTATCTGGTGTCAGCCGCTGCTGAAACTGATCAGTTTCAACAGCGGCTGAATCTGGACGCCAGTTCTGATTTACATACGGATTCAACTTAAGAAACCCAGGCGTCCCCAAGTCAACTGCTGCTGAAACTGATCAGCGGCTGATTCCAGGAAGCCCAGGGCAGAGCAACTCTGCCTCGGGCTTCCTGTAGTCAGCCCCTGGTCAGTTTCAGC